CAGAGGGTTTTACAGGGGTACATCACTATGGAGTCACACTGGTTATCCAGCCCTCTAGTAAGGCTAACACGATATTTGGGACAGAACTGGGTTCAGGGCTGGTGGAGGGGCTCAGCTGTTGCAGAGATCAGTAAGCCAAAGGCCACAGGCCTAGATGCACTGGGTGGGCATTGGGCTGACAGAAAGCTGCTGCTAAGGAATAACAATTACTGCTGTGATCAGAAGGGGTTGAGGGCTTTACAAGGCCAAGAGGAAACATGCAGTGTTAGATAAGGCAGTAAGGTAGGTGAATGTGTGCCCCTTGGTCCCAGTTTCTCTCCTGGTTACAGGACAGTACAGCAATAATGTAACAACGTTTTCCTCTCTACAGATTCGAGACCATCCACAGTGCCAGCACCCCTGAATCCTCAGAAGGTCCCAAGGATATGGAGGGTCAGGAATTGGAGATGAGGCCCCAGGATGAAGAGAAAGAGAAAGAAGAGGCAGCCATGACAGTCCCTGGAGTGTGTCAGGTAACTGGGCTGAATAGCCCAGTACAGCATTACTATGACCCCAGGGTAGCCATCTGGGACAGCTGGGTACTAAGATATCTTGGAGTCTTGGAGACAGTTAGTGCCAAGGTCTGTGCAGTGTCCCAAGCAATATTGTCTGAGCTGGTCTCCAGAGTGCCCACAACCTGAGCCTGTGGTGCAGACAGTAGCATTTGTCTGGTGTGACAGGCAATGAGGACTGAGAGATGACAGCAGGGACAGCCACTTGGAGGGGTGTCTAGAAGATGTGGCTGGAACTGCCAATCTGGGGCCCTCTCAGCAGCAGATGGTTAGGATCCTAAGCTGGGTGGTGCCCAGGTGGGCTCAAGTTTCTGTGAGAAAAACACCTGCCCATCCTGGCAGATGCAGCCCATCTGAAGTTCCAGTTACCATCTGCTGCACAAGCCAGTCAGGCCTGTGCTTTTTCACATCTTCAGGCAGCGAGTGCTGCTGGCCACATGCTAAGCTAGAATTAGCAGCTGGATCTCAGCTCTTACAGAATGTAGTGATCATGGTACCCTTGCCATGGCCCAGGATCACAGTGGGAGCATCAGTGGTTTCCAGGGCTCTTACTGAGTGAGGTCACTGTGCAGGGCAGGTAGGTGAGGCGGGATAAGAGGTGTGTGTGTAAGTGGTGTATCAATGATAAAGAGTTTGGAGGCTGAACCTGTGGGTGGACAACAAGTGTGCATGGTTATTGAGTGTCATCTGTGTATGAGTATCTAGGTGTTATCACAACCAGATTCCTATCTGTGGATGGAAGCATGTCAAGGATCTTGTCTTGCTGGGGGATCAGAATAGGTTTTGCCAGGGCAGACCCTCTTTCTTCCCTGGGGAACTTGGGATCCAAATCATATAGTGGTAGAAATGGACTCTTAATTTAACACATGGATATTTGGGTGGGGTCCTCAGGCATTAGAAGTGTGCAGGAGTCAGTTGGTGATATCTGCCATTAGTGCAAAGGAAGATGAGTGGTAGGTGTGGCTGAGGGGCACACAGTGGATTAACAGCCTGAGGCCAGATGGGCAGGGTTAGCCACAGAAAGAATGGGGATTCACACTTTGTATGGAAATTGAGTCTACTCAAAACAATGTCCCATGGCTATTTGTCCTGGGGCAGTTCCTTCTGCCATACCTGAGTACATTGATGCTTAGCACACTTCTCAAGGCTCTAGATGGCATGCAGAAATGTAGGGCAAAGATGTCCACTCCTGGGTGCCTGGTAGGAGTTGGGCTCTGACCCAGGGTCCTATCTCAGTTGAGGTCAGTGTCCCCAGATCACAGTACCATGATGGGAGTAATTTCACTTGATCACTTGATCAAATGGGTGCCAGGGCCTTTTCCACTTACAGGTCAGGCTTTTCCACTCACATGCCCAAAGCCATGGAACTGGGCAGAGCTTCCCAAATTATTTGCAACCTTGGTCCAGGTGGTATGGTATCGGCTCCCACAGATAGGATTTTCTGTGCAGTGGGCAACGATGAGGTTGATGAGTGGCTGTTTACCAACTGCTGAGATAGTCGTTGCCTATCAGCTCCCACACAGGCCGTGCTTATTACCCAGTAGGGAAGCTTCTGGAGAGGCTCAGGGACTCTTATCTCTAGGGCTGCCATAATAGAGCTGACAGTTTAGGGCTGAGATCTCCAGAGGGCTCTGCCCATACTGTACACCATCAGTATCAGGGGCCACCCATTAGATTACTCTCTAGATGAGTTAGGATTTAAACAGACCCCATAAAGTGGTTGTCCCAGAGCCTGGTCTTATTGCTTCTTCATAGCAGGTATACATACATGAGACAGCTCATCTCCTGATGGCCTGGGACTAGAGCAGATGAAGAGAAGTCCTCCAGGAAAAGCTGAAGGGCTGGCAAAATGGCTTAGCAATTAAAATGTCTGCCACATAAGCATGGAGATTGGTGTTTCACATAAATGCCAAGTGGACACAGCAGCCTCCTGTTGTAGTTCCAGGGGGAGACAGAGGATCCCCAGAGCAACCTAGTTAACAGTACTGGCCATTAGTGACCTCTGTCTGTGTGAGAGATGCTGCCTCAGTGAATAAGGTGGAAGAGCGAATAAGGATGACTCCCAGCATCAACCTGGGGTCTAGACACACACACACACACACACACACACACACACACACACACACACACACACACACACACACACGGGAGGGGAGACACACACACACACACAGTGATGCTTGCATACATGCATGCACAGGGGAAATAGAAAAGGAAAGGAAGACCCCCAAGAAACTCCAATATATCCTCCTAGTTGCCATGCTGCCAGTGATACCCAGGAGCAGTCTCTTGATTCCTGCAGACCCAAGTATAATTTTACTTGCTCAAGAGCTTTATAAACACTAGTTTATAGACCAAAGGTTGTGAAAATCACCATCATTGTCATGATTCTATTCTCTCCTGGTTCTGTCACTGCACCTAGTCCCCTCCACCCCCCATCCCTGCCTGGTAGCTGATGACTGTAGCTCTCCACAGTCTGGGGAGTGCATTTTCGTCTGTCTAGATACTGGGCAGTCAGCTCTTCCATGCTGCTGCTGTGAGAAGCAGGAGCCCAGCTTTGCTGAGTATCTATGGGCAGGTTGCTGACCTCTGGACCTCAGTTTCATATTCTTTATATTGGAGTTGGGGAGAGTTGTTGTTGCCCTCCAGCTTGTCACTTACTAGGCAGCCTGGTTTCCCTTCCACGGGGGTGCAAGCAGGTTCAGATACCCCTCCAGCAGCTGATTTTACATTTGCATCCGAGGAACACATTGGGCAATGTTTTGTTGCAGACACTGCCCAGAGTCCTGCTTTGTACTGACCCCACAGTGTGATCTCAGCACCCTCTTCTGGCCAGTGGGGATGGTGTAGTCCTATGTAGATTATAAAACACAAAGCCAGGAAGGGGCACAAAACAGGGAAGCCCTGCTGTCAGATGGTGCTCTGTAGAATGAGTGTGACCTAGATTGTCCTTTTAAAAAAATAATATATTTAAATTCATTTCATGTGCATTGGTGTGAAGGTGTCAGAGCCCCTGTAACTGGACAGTTGGGTGCTGGGAAATGAACCCTGGCCCTCTTGGTGAGCAGCCAGTGCTCTTAACTGCTGAGCAATCTCTCCAGCCTCCTAAGATGGTCCTTCTCTTGCATGCTGTGCCTTGTTATCTGAGGGGTTTGTAGATGCCATAGAGGGGAGCTTACAAGAAAGGAATGGTCTTGCAAACACCTAGAGAACTTGAAGCCTTAGAAGTCCATGAGCCAAGGGAGAGTGGAGTCAGAGGGGCTCCAGCCCAGGGCCCTGTTGATTTGGGACTGAACCCAATAGGTGAGGGGAAAACAGGGACCATGTTTGACTGTCAATTTGTCCACCCAAAGACTGTTCCTTGAGAATGGCAGACAGAATGATTTCAGTCATAAGAATGTGACTGGGCAGTGGTAGTACGTGTCTTTAATCTCAGCAGTTGGGAGGCAGACATAGACATATCTCTGTGAGTTTGAAGCCATCCTGGTCTATAATGGGAGCTCTGTCCAGTAAGCCAGGACTCTTTTTTTAACTAAAAGATTTTATTCATATACAAAATTTTCAAGCAATAAAAATGTAAAGCACCAATAACAATCAAAAGAAAGACACTTCAAGTTGGAGAAATCAGAATCTTGGTACCTGGAGTCTGATGGGTAGAGTGAATTAATTTATAATTTTTAACTTTTTGGTCTATATGGAAATCTTAGCCAAAGAGCAGCCAAGGCAGTTGAGATGAGAGGGTGGCTCTCACCAAATGCAGACTGCATTTATGGGCTTGGTCCCCAGAAAAGAGATTGAGGAAAAAGTCAAAGTCAAAATTCCTAGGCATGAAGGCCCACATCTGCTGTCCCAACACTTGGTAATTAAGACAGGAGGAATAAGCAGTTCAGTCATTCTTGGCTACTTAGTGAATTTGATGCCAGCCCGGGATACTTGAGACCTTGACTTAAAAACCAAGCCAAGTTAAATTGGCCAAAGCAAGAGCCAGGGAATGTTGTAGAATATTTTCTCCCATTTAGTGCTCAAGACAGACTCCTTTACTCTCCCCTGTAAGGGCCCTTACAGTGTCATGTCACTGAGGCCAGTGATGTGTGGACAGTAAATGTGCTGACCGGAGGTAAGAAAGAGGAAATTGTCAGCAGGGTTAGTGGAGTGTAGGAATTCCTCTTTTTATTTTTGTGGCCTTTTTGTCTACACTGGTATGTCTCTGCCTTGGTTCAAATGCACTTGGTTTGGTCCTTGCCTGAGACTCCATGAAATGGAGTTCAGTCCTCAGACAGCCAGGACTCTTACACAGAGAAACAGTATGTTGGAAAAATGAAAAGCAAATAATCTAAAACCTCACCTGGCATATTTAGGTATTTGTGAGTGAAACTGAGGGGCCTAAGTCCACACTGGACTTATAGGAGGATGACGCTACCCTGGTTAAAGAAGCTGGTATTAAGTATGAACAGTTGGAAATTGCTTTTTTTAATTAATAAAAAATTCATTATCTGGAAAGGGGCTTTAAAAGGGAAGTCAATATAAACAGTGAATAGCCTTAGCAAATTATGAGAACAATAACAAGAACAAATAACATGAAAATAATAAAACAAACCAAACAATAAAAAAAACCAAAATCAAAAATCAAACTAACAGCTAAGCTAAGCAGCATTTGCTCACTGCAGATTGAGGATCACAGACCTACAGCCTGTGCCTGTTCTTAGACATAAGGTTGCCAGGCAGTCATGATTCTAACAGCCGTTTCAAGATGAGTAGAGTCAGGCCTCTTTGTGGATTTATATGTCATGTTCTCAGCAAGGTCAGGTATGGAACAAACTAACACATGAAAAGAGGCACTGTTGTCATTTCTGTAGGGTTTGTCCTCAGCAATGTTTCTGTCTGTCAGGGAGTCAGTCAGCTTTAGACTCCACTGCAGGGAGAATCCAGTGCTTTTGGGTGTTGTCTGTCTGGATAACAGCCTGGCATCCATGAAGTCTTCCAGGACAGATTTTCCACCATAAATGGAGGGCTGAGGACTCAGTGAGCTTGCCAAAGTCCTCCACAGCAAAATGACAGAGTAAGTCTTGTCAGCACCATCTCTTCCCTCCATGTTGTTGTGTCCCTCACTAGGGCCACTTGAAGTGGATGTCAGAGTTCAGAGTATTTTTTGTCTCTGGGTTTCTGTGTCTCAGTGTTCTTTTTGATGGTTTCTTTTCTTCATGATCTCTGAGCCATCAGACACATGGACCATTTTGGCATGGGTCACCTGGAGGTCAGTTGGTATTTGCCTTGTGGTGAGTTCAGAGATACAAGGGGTGTCATTTTCTAAGGAAGGCCTTGATCCTAGGGTGAAGGATGTCATGCTTTCAAGGTGTCTGTGGCTCCTATGGTGTTCTCAGGTTCTCAGGGGTGTTGTCAGGAAGGAAAGGGAATAGGGACCCAGGAGCAGCCCTGCTGGGTTACTGGCTTGGCTTAATTGGGGCCTATTCACACATAGGAAATAAAAGCTGAGGAAGAAAAGGCATCTCCAGAATTCAGTATTTGTTCAGGATCAAGATCAGCAGGTAGTTCCTGGGTTAGCAGCTCCTTCTGAAGGAGGCTCTCATCCTGGACTGTGGCCTGTTCCAGGTCACATCGGAGTTTTTCTGACCTAGGAGAGAAAGGCAGTTAGGGCACAGTCCTGATGGGGACCTGCTATTGTCAGCTGACGGGCAACAGTCTCCCACGACCTCAACTGTGCTGGAAGTCAACATTGTTCTTTTGACTGAAGTCGTTGTTGTTACCCCAAAGGAGTAAGAGTCACAGAGTAGCTGGGCCTAGAACTTTTGTCAGCCCTAAACACCTGTCAGAATAAGACTGAGTAGTGTATGTTCTCTGAGAAAGAATGGGTCTTCCCCTTACAGTCTGGGGACATCATTTTGTTAAAGTAACAACATATTAGTAACATAGTCAACAGCATATGAGTGATGCAGATGCTATTCATGATGGGTTACTGATCAACCACATCGTGGTATAAATAGATATAAACAGCCTTGCAAGTTGGACCTGGGAACAAGGTCATGAGGCTAGCTCAGTCCTCATGCCCAGAAGGCACCTTCAAGTCCACAAACAACATGCAAGTTAGAGCCTGCCATAATAGAGCAGTATTTTCTGACATGTGTGCCTGAGAACACTGGCCCTGTCTGAGCTCTGGGACAAACAGAAACGTGATTTGCTTAGGACTAGAGCTGGAAATCTGCATCCTGGCTCTTCTGGGAGTCTGTGACAGGGCATTCCTGAGAAGGGTCTGATCTTCCCCACAGCTGAGACTTCTGACCTGGAAAGTCCTTAACCTACTCTCTCCAGAGAACACTTTGCACATGAAATGCAGAGAGCCATGCTCAAAGTTGGGAATCTCTCATCTACAGAGGATGTTCCTCAAAGAAAATTAATTTCAGCCAGTTGTGGTGGACACACTGTTCAATCCAATCACTTGGGAGCTGAAGCAGGCAGATCTCTGACAGTTCAAGAAAATCCTGCTCAGACCTTAGAGAGTTCACAAGGGTCAGACATACTAAGTATCAAAAATATTAATTCCTGTACATAAGCTCTTGTTGACTGAACTAGCACAATACTCTGAGGTTGTCTTTCCTGGTTGTAATTATGAGTCATGCATGTAAGAAGAAGCCCATAAAAGACAGAGATCCCAGGTACAGATGATCCACTTGGCTCCACCTCCTCCCCACTTCTGGGAGCAATGATTGGTATATAGGACCTCTTGTAAGTATTGCCATTTGGGTAGGGCCCTAAACAAGGGTAGCATAATAAAAGCCATCTTAGTATTCCTACTGTATTCTTAGAGACTAACACTTAAGTTTCTGTGTCTGCTTATCTTCCTGTACAGCATAATTTCAAGGCCTGCAGGCCACCTCTCCCACCCCTCTGCCACCTGGCCTGCAGTCCAAACTCCCCCAGCCACGGACTTGCATCCTCGGAACATATCCTGCCAAGATCAAGCTTCCTGTTTCAACCTTCATTGTGCCCTGCTGGCCAGGGTACCCTACAGCCTGGCCTCCTACCTCATCTGGTAGACCTCAAAGTGATGGTGCAGCTTTTCTGCCAAGTCCTTTTCCCGGGAAAGCATCTCCCTCTGCTTCAGCAGGAACTGCAGTCTTTCCTTCAGTCTTTGGAACTCCTGTTCATTAGAAGATCGTGTTCTTAGTGGGGAGTTGCATACAGGCATGAGCACATTGTCATGAAAATGAAACATACAGAAAGGAGCCTAGTGGCTTGCTGGTAGGTGAGGCAAGCCAAAAGGGCTTACACTGCACCACACACACACACACCACACACACACACACACACACACACACACACACACACACACACACACACACAAGAGAGAGAGCAGAAAGAGAGAGCGAGAGTGAGCAGAATACAACACCATGCAATGTGAACAGATGAGTTAGACTAAGCACACGACTCTTTCAGAGGAGTCTCACAACTCAGCCATCTTCCCTTGGGGACTAAAGGTGCTGTGGAGAGTGTACTCAGCTTGGCCAGAATCCATTGAAGTGGCTAGAGAAATTTTTACCCCTGAAACCAAAAAACTCACACCCCTGATCCCCAGATTGTCAAAAGCCCCCATACGCTAAGCCAATCAACTCCAGATTGTATTCTCCAGGATGGGAGACCTCTCTAAGAACACTCACAGAAAACAGGCCTGAGAAGTTGCTAGAGAGGCTTCTGTCACTGTGAACCAAGTGTTGCATAAAGGAAGAAAGCACATTGGGATGCAGGAAGAAAGGAGGAGGCCACATGCCACCCAAATCCATGACTATGATAAGCACTCATTTGGCACTTGCACAGGAATCTCCTCCTTGCAAACTGCTTCCCACCTGTGATCTCACATGTGCCCTGCAAAGCAAATGAGCCCCAGAACCCGGAACTTACTCACTTAAAGTTCCGTGTATAGGATCCTAACAATCATAATGACATGTAGGTGTGTAATATGTTACTGACCTATCTCCTTCACTGGACTGCAGCTTCAAGCAGAGCAGCAGGGATGGTTTGCCAATAATTCTGGTTCATTAGAGGCTAACTTCCCAGAAGTACTTGTGCATGGACACTGAATGGATACCCGGATGACATGAGGTGGATGACTGGATGGGAGAATGAATGAGTAAGGTGATGAGTGAAAGCACAGGTGGGTGGATGGACAGACAGGCAGTCAAATGGACAACTGGACCTGACCTTAGCCTGACACATCTACCTGCCCTTACCTTTTGCTGGGTCTGTAGGTCACTGGTCTTTTCGTCTTGGTTCTTACAGATCGATTTCCATTCCCTCAAGTGGTGCTTCAGCAGGAACCAATCCTCCATCCGTTTCTTGTTCTCCTGCCTCAAAACGTCTACTTTCTTCTTCAGCTTAGTTTGTTCCATCAGGAGCCGGCTGTGCAGACCGCTGGGAAGACCCTCTGTATAGTAAGGTTCTGCCAGTCTCCTCCTCCCACCCCTGCCTCCAGGTACTATCAACCCCAAACGACCGAAGGTTCTCATGAAGATATAGCCAAGAGCTCAATATGGCCATGACAACAGTTACACTTAGAAGGCCAAATTAGAGAACAGCTAATTAAAAACAAAGCAAACTACTTCTGAAAACCCCAACACCAAAAGGGATCCGTGTCCCTTCAATAGAGGGATTCTCCCAACTGTCCTTAACTGTCCACGGTAAGGAGAAATAACTGTCCATGACATGATAAGGGGAAACATCAGCAGGTAGTGGGCAAACACCCTTCAAGTGAGGAGGAGGCCCAAGGTGAGTATCTACAGTTTCCAAGCCACCAAATCTGTAAAACCTGGGCCTGATTCCAGATTTCCAGGGCTGAATAACTGACATTCCCCTCACAGTGAAAATCGCTTTTTCTTTTCTTATATCTTTTCCTCTTCCTCCTCCTCTTCTTCTTATTCTCCTCCTCTGTCTTATTCTCTTCCTCATTCTTCTTCGTTTTCCTTTCTCTCTTACTTGTTTTCTTGAGACTGGAATTCTCTGTGTAAAAGTCCTATCTGTCCTGGAAATCATTCTGCCTCCAGACTGCTGGGATTGTACCACCACAGCCCAGCTTGATTTTCTACCTAAAGGTTCATGAGGCTCCAGGACAGTGAAGGGAGGAGCTAACAGTCTCTTTCACACTTAGTAAAACTAAGTGCAAGAGGCAAAAGTCAAAGCGATTCTTGCTAAGACAAAGAAAGGACAGAACCAGAGTGTGTGGACTATCCAGTCTAGAGACAAAGAAAGGAAGAGATGGCAATTCCACAACTGTTAGGGTCCATTCCGAAACAGGCACTTACCGATAGAAGCCCGTCTCCTTGACAAGGTCATCTAACTTCCCTGAAGCCTCAGTGTTCTTATTCTGTAAGCTCTGTAGTTCTGCCATGACCTCCTTATGCTCCATCTTCAGCTTCTCATAGGAAGGATTTGGCCTGTGATAGGGCCTGGCCCCAGGAGCAAAGAACTCTATGAACAAAGGCCTGAAGTGAACTCAGGCTGGTGTCATGGTCTACCACAGCCCAGGGGATGCCACATTCTGGCTCCTATGTACTGGGACTTTCTGGTGCTTAACTAACTTGTTATCCTGGCCTGGATGACCAGAGGCTAGGTGTTCAGATGGAGAGTGGCATTGCTGCATGAGCTCACTGAGTAGACCTGGAGGGTCAGTCTAGCTCTCTATGTTCCCAAGAGTCTATGCTACAGGTCTTGGTCCACCAAAAACCTGCCCTGGTGTTTCTCTTGTTTCAGAACAAGGGTTGTAGATCCTGGATGACTATTACTGAACAGTTGGACAGATCACAGAATTCGGGGGTTGAGACCCAACATCAGGATAGCTATAAAAACTCCCCAAGGAATTCCTGTGTCCCACCACAGACACCTGGCTCCCAGAATGAGGAGGACCACACAAACATGCAAATGGATGTAAACACACACACACACACACACACACACACACACACACACACACACACACACACGCTTGCGAGAAGGAGAGAGAGCTGGAGAGACAGGAGAGCAGAGCTGAAGAAAGGCAGGGCCCAGAATTGTCTAAGAGTATAAAAAGAACAGTGACTTCCTCAGGACTTCCAGTCACACACTGAGATGGACAAATTGTGATCAGGCCCTTCCAGCTGCTACCTGAAGCTACAGGTACACAATCACATGCAAGTACCAGGACTTACCACATACAGCAGCTAGTATGCCACACAAGCCGCCACCTGTCTGGGCCTTTCCATAAATGTGCTGGGAACTCATACGTTACTGCCTCAATCCCCCAGTTTCGTGACTCAGACTAAAAACTCTTGTTCTCATTAGGAACAAGCAGAATAGTTCATATCCCCATTTCACTCCTGCCTATGTTTCAGGTTCTGCCTCTCCTCCAAGAGGCATTGAAGGACCAAGAGGCATTGGGCATAGGGAAGCTCTGAGGATCAGGCTCCTGGAATCCAAGATCTTAAAATGAAGACGAGGGTGAAACTGCAGAGGCAAAACAGACAGTATGGAGGTTGAAACAATGGATACCTATTTTCCACATTTCCCTCAGTGATGGAGAGAAGGCGATCTCGCAAAGCATTCCTTTGGCTGGTCACCAGCTGCAGCTCCCTGTTCAGCCTCCCCATTTCCTTCTTCACTTGTTTCTTAGTGAGGAGCGTTGGCTGGGATGATGGCTCCATAGCAGCCTATAAGGGAAGATGAACACAAGCAAGTTGCATAGCAACAAGGCATAGAGAATGGACAGACCACCCTGTGGCCCAAACAGAAAGATCATGTCTGGAACCTAGTGACACTCCAAATATTTAAGGCCAGGTTGACATACCCCATCTGTGGATCTCTACTCTTCCACAGCTGTGTAGAGATGTGGCTATGTAAGCAGTCAGGTGTTTCCTTTGCCTCAATACACATGCTTCAGGAGAACACAGAGACAACCTTACCAAGCTTATTCACAGTGACACAGTATGCAGCGTGGTCCAGAGCCCTGAACTCTGCCTGTGGTTTCAGAAGCCAGGAGAACTGGCAAAGTACACAAACTCTCAGGTGCTGTGAGGAGCCAGATCTCCTGCCTGGTCATTCCAGGCCCATGTATGTGGATTGAAAAGTCACACAGGGGCACAACATGGTCAAAAGACCCACCAAGTCACCCTACCCCACTGACAGCCCAAATCATAGAAGCTAGCCCGAAGGAGCCAATGTCTTTCCTGGTATCCTGCCTCTGACAGTTGTTTGGCTACACTAGAGAATTGCCTGCCATACTCAACTCCTGATTCATAACCCTAAGGGAACTATTGTAAGGGAGGGGTGGTCAGGAGGAGTTCTGCTGTACAGCCTGAGGGCATAATGTCTTTTCCAGAACCAATTTTGTCTCCCTGTGACTGGTTTCAGATAATCACTGCACCTAAAGGAAACCACTGGGGAAGAAGAGCAGTGATGCCTGCCCTAAGCTGGGGACACATCAGTCCCTCCCTTCTTCCTGCTGTCTCCTTCAGTCCCCACATTACACCCTTAAACACCAGTCAAGGTAAAAGCTAGGTGCTACCAGCACATCAGCATTGACCTGGCCAGTATCTGGCTTAGAGCGACTGACAAACTAATGTTCTGGAATCCTTGACTTTCAGGAATTATGGTAAGCAGGGAAGTCCATTTGCTTCTCAGAGGTTCTAGCCCCTCTGCTTTAGTCCTGGAAGGCCCAGATCAAGCCCACACCCTCCAGGAAACTCTCCATCTCCTGTCCAGCACTCACTATGCCTATGCCAAAAACATTGATTTGATCCTGTTTTACCATGAGATTGAACAGCAGCTTCCTTCTGCCTCTCTCTGGTCTCTGAATGTTCTCTAGTCTCTCTTCAAAGTAGAGTTCTTGGACAACATGTCTAGAGGCACTGAAGGAAAGGCCAAAAGACAGCTGGTGTTGCTACCACATTCGTGACATCACAGAATGCCAAGCTCTCCAGGATACAGTAGAATGTCCTGAGACAGGACTGACCATGTCATGGGAAACAGTCTTTGCCTTCTGCTAACTGGTTCTCCCTGAACTGACCAGAATCCCAGGTTCCCTTTCCAGGAGCTTCTTTTGGAACATAGGGAAAGCCATTCAGCACCTCCTCCTTCCAAAGCCAGAATTCCCTTAGCTTGGTTGGAAGCTCCATAGTAATTCCCATCTAGACTTTCCAACCACAGCCCAGGGATGTCTGATTCCTTCCTCAAAACCCATCTATTCATCAATATGAGCAATTAAATACTACTGAGAAGCCATGTTAGGATGAATGTAGACAAGGAAAGATCACCTTCCTCAAGTCCAAGTGTTTGAAAGCACATTCAGGGAGAAACTGCAGGGCTGGTTGCAGAGTGGGATTTGGGTTAAGGGTACAGTTATGGAAGCCATGTGCTGAGCTTAGAGAATTGCCCCATGGGAATGCAGCCATCAGGGCCTGCTGTAGAATTTCTTCTTCACAGGTTAGCTAAACCAAGTCTGTGTATATTATGCCAGCAGACGGCTGTAATTCATCTGAAAACATCCCTTAGTGTCTCAGTGAGTACTCTATGAATAAGCCAAGGGCTTATCACTAGGAGAGTCTAGCAGTTTTTTGGCTGAGAAAATTCATACAATGCTCTGATGCTCAAAAGCTGTGTTGGGCGTTGATGAACGTGAACATCAGCTGAAAGGCATTATCCAGAGGCAACAGTGCACTATATATCCAGTGCAGGGATCATAAAGCCCCTGGTTTATGATTCGATCTTTCTGAGTATAAAGGAAAGATATGTGGGAATCACCTGTGCATCATGTGACAGCACAGTAACTATAGTAACAGTAAACAGGACCTGTGAGATCCTGGCCTGAGCTTGCTGCCAGTGCTGTGCCTCAGGTGACCTAAGTATATCAGATTTGAGTTTTCAGGACAATTTCTAAATTTTGGTGAAAACAGACCCTCAAGAATCTACAAATTACTCACCATGCCGCCCTGATTCCCAGTAGAGAGAGCCATAATGGAATAGGAAGTTTATCCTAACCCTACAGTGACTGCAGAGGGTGTAATTTTGGGGGAGGGGCGGTGTGAAAAAATGTGCATGTTTGGTAAAGAGAGGATCTGACGTTATCTTTGAAGGTGCATATTCCCAATACACGAAGCAGGTGTTGTTGTGAAGAAAAAACATGAGCTACTGTGATAAAAAAGCAGTCTGGTGAATGGGCAAAACATTAAGTGCCTGAGGCCCAGCAGGCAGTTCAGAGCTGAGGAAGTACGACTATGTGCAGGATGCCTTCGTAAAGTAGAAACTGTGGGGTTCAGGGACAATGCACCAGCCAGTATGATACTATATGCTACAAAAGTATTGGTGCACATTAGGAAGATGAACTTTCAGAATATTTACCTCCTTAGGAGTGGGAAGATTTGAGGCGAGGAAATGTCTTGGCTCGTGTAGACCTGGAAGGTGTGTTTGCATGTGCAGGTGTTTGGGATTTGACTCCTGGTGCAGATGCACAGAGGAAGGCTTCAGAAAAATGCAGAAGCACATCCAGAGCTGCTGGACATCCAGGAGGAGTGTGGGAGTATAAATTAGCGATTGTTTTGATGGATCATCAAGGATGTTTTAGTGGCAATGAGTCAAGTGAATTCCAAAGACTTAGAGCCAAAGCCTGTAACCTGTTTCATCTATAGCCTTGGATAGAACATGACATCTAAAGCCCCAAAGAGGCATGGCTGCAGTGGAGTTGAAAAGCCTGTTGTAATCAGTGACAGCCTTGCTACCTTATGTCCAAGTCAAACACAGGCTTTAGGTCTGTGGGGCCCAATCTGCACTTAGCTTAACTGGTAGGTTGGTTTTTGGTTTTGGTTTTTTCATTTTTTTGCTTTGGTTTCGGGTTTGCTATTTTGATGTTACTTGTTGTTGTTCTTATTTTTGATAATTTTCTAAGCCCAATCACTGTTTATATTGACCCCCCCTTTTTTGTTTGTTTTTTTTTTCGAGACAGGGTTTCTCTGTATTGTTTTGGAGCCTGTCCTGGAACTTGCTCGGTAGTCCAGGCTTAGTCTCGAACTCACAGAGATCCATCTGCCTCTGCCTCCCGGGTGCTGGGATTAAAGGCATGCGCCACCACCGCCCGGCTTGACTTCCTTTTTAAAGCCCCCTTTATAAATGCATTTTTATGAATAACAAAATCAATTTCCAACTCTTCACACAAAACCCCAGGTTCTCTCATCAGGTGTGGGGCCACACTTCTAAAAGCCTACAACTCACAGGCACAGGTGGATCTCTGCAAGTTCCAGGCAGCATGGGCTGCATAGAGAGTTCCCAGCCATCCAGGACTACTCAGGGGATTGGTGTCCCTGGTATGGATAGCATGGCTTACTCCATGGGTACACACTTTATGATGGAATCAGTATCCAAACTGTATCCAAGTTGTCATGTATTTAGCTACCCATAAAATATGGTACTTTATAGATTTCATCAGTTGGACATTGAACCAAATTATTGACAAATACAGCTGTATTACTCTATATTCTCACATTCAATAAAACCATTGTAAAAGAAATCAGGCTGGGCGGTGGTGGCGCACGCCTTTAATCCCAGCACTCGGGAGGCAGAGGCAGGCGGATGTCTGTGAGTTCGAGGCTGGGCTGGACCGATAGCCTCCAAAACAATACAGAGAAAGCCTGTCTCGTAAAAACCAAAAAAAAAAAAAAAAAAATCAGGAAACCCAGAGTTGTCTGTTTTTCTAGAAATACAGCATTAGGGATAACCACACAACACATATAATGACCTCCAAGTCATTTTGGTGCATATCTTTTAATAGATGATCTTAGCTTTGTAGAGGCAATTGGTGTGCTTTTCACTTTAGGTTTATTATTTTATGAGAATGGGTATTTTTCCTACAGAATGTGTTCTGCATGCATGCAGTTCCCCCAGAGACCAGAAGAGGGCAATATACACCCTGTCATTGATGGTTGTTAGCAGCAAAGGCTTGAGCCATCTACAACTTCTACTCTTGGCTTTTGTCCTTCAAGACCTAGGCTCTGTATTAGCTAGACTGGGTCATCCCACACCAATGAGAGAATTCTCTGGAGACTTCTAGAGACAGGCACATGAAGTAGGCATGCTAATTCTCTTAGGCTGACTGGTATCTACGCAGGACTCTGATGTCCCCACAGATCTGTGTATATTCAGGACCATGCCCCAGCATCACTTATTGTTAGGGTTGGAGCAGATCTGTCACCTCTCATCTAGGTTAACAATGTAAACTAGCCTTATCTTGTAGTGGGAGTTCCTGCTGAAGTTTTTCAACTGGTTTGATTTTGGAGAGGTAGCCCCTGGCTTTCACCTGCCTTCAGTGACTGCTACCTTTTGTGTCTGCTACCTTGTGTTTGAAGTATGTAAATCTTACCTGAGAGTTTCCTAAAGGTTCAAAGCCTATGCAAAATTTGGTTGTGGGAGGACTCAGAAAACTGAAATATCCTGTGACTGGGAATTGCTTTGGCATTTGTCTCTGGGGAGTTTCAGATAAGAGATTTTTGGTATGAGGAAATTGACTTGCTAAAGATGTAAATTGTATCACAAAAATGTCTTTTGTAAAGCTGCATTCAGTCAGTTCACTCCCCTGTAAGCAAGAAGGCTAAAACTCATCCTTGAATGACCCTGCATGAACTAAACACCGGACATAACACATCTGATGAATTGCAGATTTGAGTGACCCTCCAGTGGTCTGGGTGTGGGGTAAGGAATCCTTGATAGCAAGAAAAATCTCCAGCTAAGCAGTGTTGGGAGGAAACTGCAGAGCAGGCACAGTGCATGGAGCCTACAGCAGAGGACATATGCTTTCTGCCCGTGTAAGCCTGGGACATGAGAGGGATAGTTGCAGCTGCACTTAAACATGGCAGGAAGGGTTTCTTCCAGGTGATTCTTCTATAATTGTAGAGCTCCTGGGAGTAGATGCAGCTTCTGAGACTGGAGGTGAGTTAGAGAGTTCAAGTATGGAGAAAGTAATCCTTTGGATCCCCAGACAGGTGCTGAGAAAACAGGGCTTCTACATGTTCAGCAGTCAGAGAAACAGGGTAGATGATTTTGTTATTCTCTGCCATAGTCCACATTCTCTTTCTGAGCTGACTGTGGCATAGAAAGGGTCATCTGTAGACACACTGGAAACTAGGTGAATCTTGGTTTAGACCACACTACCAAGTTACTACTATATTGAATGGATCTTCTTGTCCATCTTCTCAGTATCTGGAAGGAGCCTTGGGTCAGTTATGCCTCACTCACATGTGGCTCCTCAGGAGAGGCTTGGCTAGTTTGGTAACTGCTACCAGATGGACAGATCAACCTGGCTCCTTCTACTGGCATTTGTGCAGGTAGGTAATATTTTCAAATCAGCTTTTCTAAGGCTAAATTTTCCTTAGTGCCCAGTGTGGACTTAAGCTCCTCTTTTTTTCTTCTAGATATCTAAACATCCCAGGTGGGGTTTTGATTGTTTTGTTTTTCTTTTTTCCAACATGTTTCTCTTGTGTAAAATTCCTGGATGTACTGGACAGAACTCCCATTGTAGACCAGGATGGCTTCAAACTCACACAGATTCTCCTTGTCTGCCTCCCAGGAGCTGACCTTAAGGGCAATTGCCACCAGTACCAAACTGCATTCCCAGTCTTGAAAGTATTCTGTTGGTCATTCTCAAAGAATGGTCTTGGAGTGGACAAACTGACAGCTGAGTCTCTTCATGAAGCCTGCCTTGTAATTGTTGTAAATGATGGATGGAGTTCCAGACCTGTGATGTAACTCAGCGGTAGACTAGTTGCTTAGCCTGCATAATGCCCTAGGTTCAATCCTAGCCCTAGTAGCTAGAGGCAAAGAATAGTTAAAAACCCTGTTATACCCAGAAGTGAAGCTTACCATGAAAAGGGAGTTTTGATAGAGG